ATCACACGCACACATTTCTACCCTCCCAACACCTCACCTTTCAGACACCATCTGTAGCACACACATCTCTCTTGCACAAACACTCTTACTTCACAAACACAGACAGTAGCGCCATTTAACACACATGCACACAATCCTACGCATATCCTATCAATCGCACGCGCGCACACACACACACACGTTGCGCCTCTAGCACACACTCTTGATTATTCTCCGAGTTCACCACACACTTTTTCTCCCACACACACAAACAGGACTTCAGGACTCTAATGTGTTTGTTCCAGAGGGGCGAGTTGATCTATTCCGCTTGGTGAGATATAAAGCCTCTTTCCTCCTCCAGTAAACGCCCTCTTTTACACTATTCCAGACCTCTTTGATGTATTGACCATGTCGGCTCCTGCTTATTGGGAGTTTTTTTGAAGCCTACGTTTGTGCGGCAGTCTCTCTTTGGTGGGGTCAGTGCTGTGTTTTTGTGCGGAGAGAACTGTCAGTTATGTTGTGCCCGTGGAGCCTTACAGAGCTCTTTTTAATGAGTGCATTAAAGCTGCATAGATGTTCAAGGCCAGTGGAGGTGCGTCCCCTGGGCCCCGCGTCTGCCTCAGGGCTGCCATCTGTAGATCTCTTGCACATATAAGGGTCTCCACTACTTTTTTTTTCATTTTCTCTGTCTCTGGAAGATGAAGTAGTTTGGAGCTGTGCATGGCGAGAATGAATCCAAAGTGGTGAGAAAGGTAACATGGCAGGCAGAGTGTGCAGATCAGATGTTCTCACCCTTCTGCAACCTTTTTTTCCCCAAAATATGTGTGAATAGGAATGGTAACCATACATAATTTAGTGCTTTTGAGGCTTCCTTGATGATTCTGCTTCCATAAACGATAAATATTTGTAAATAAGACATGCAATTTGATTCCCAATTGATGGTTTTTGTAATGCAGTTCAATAATTGACCTTAGCTTTAGGATACAACTGTGCTAAAGGCAGATTGGAGTAAAAGGCACATTTGATTTTATTATGGAGCGAATTATGTGCCAAAATTAAGCAAACAAATCCAGCATTTTGCAAACAAACTCGATCTGCTTTGTAATGGAAAACTCGACTCGCAAACTAACAGAAAGCAATTTGCAAAAGCCAATTTGAGCGAAAATGCAGTGGAGTAACCAATAGTGTGTTTTACAAATATAAATAAATGATCCTTGATGATATTTCACAAATAAATACAAAGCATCCTATAAATTGCATGAAACCTTTGAACAAATACCAAATCTAGTGCATACAAATGCATATCTGTCTGTTATGATTGTGAGATCTCTCGGCTCGATTTTCTCACAAATGCAGATGAGTGACTTCCTCTTTTAAAACAGTAGATTGCACTAAAATATGGAATTCATTTAGCGTTAGTCTCCTGGGAGAAGCACTGATTTGAAACACGCTTCTTTGCCTACAGCTGAGGGAAAAGTTACTGTCTTTATTTATAATAAACACCTTGAAGTTTTATTTTGCAAGGCCACTGGGCCTTTAACATTGTTGAGGACAAAATGCCACAAGGTAATTAGATCTGTGATTTTACACAGATATGAGACAATATGAGAAAAAAAAAAAATCAAAATCACAATCACAAAATCGCACACTTCCAATGAAGAAAAAATGTGAAAAGTAACATATGATGGCAGAGCTTTCAGCTTAGATTCCCAGAGACCTTGAATTTCACACATGAACATTATGTAAATTGTTTTGGCCTATTTTCAATAAAAAAATTGTGAAATTAGTCAAAATTGTAGCTGATTTTTTTTTTGTTTTTGTTTAACATTTCTGTCTTAAAACAGCTGTCAATTATGAAATGTTTAGCTACTGTACTTGCATATTGTCTCGCGCTTTATGACCATTAACAAATTATCTTGATGCTGTGGAATATCCTTTCTGCACTAAAGTCGAGTTCATACTATATTAGGCATTAATTTCACAACCTTTATTATACACACTGATGAATAATGCATCATCTCACCTGTAGGCTAAAGGCGGGCATACACTGTGCGATTTTCGTCCGATTTTGAGCCGAATTCTGACTCGTGCGACTCATTTTCTTGTCGGACCGATTTTCAGCTTTGTCGTGCGTTGTTTGTCGTGCAGTGTTCGTGCAGTGTACAGGGAGAAACGAGAGGCGATTAACCTCTCACGATCGACAATCGGATGGTCGGATGAATTTCTGGCATGTCAGAAATTTTGGTCGCTCCTCGTGACTATATCGCACAGTTGAAGCAAAGCTACGAACCGATTGCCCTAAACTCAGTGTTTTTTCCCTCACTGCGCCTGCGCGAAAACAGAAGTTTAACCATTTCATCTGCAGCAAAAATAAAATTAAAATAAAAACGAGCTACAAATTACTGTTGCTTAACCTCCAGTTCGTGTTGCAAAATGGATAATATTACCCACCGTCTTCAAGCCACCTGATATGTAACACCTCTTTTATTGTTTTGTCAAACAATGTTTTTGAAATAAACCTGTTTTTAATTTTCATTGATGATTAATAATGGCAATGTTCGGACATATTATAGACTGTTAATAGTTATTTTATATGTATATAATTCATTGTAATCGACCTAAATGTTTTAGACAATTTTTAATGAGGAGTAAGATTAATATTCCTCACAGCACGTTGGTTATGTGCTGTGAAAATATTGCGTGGCAAATAGCGGATCATTTTAATAGTAAAATTAGCCTATAGGCCTCCCCTAATAATGATAATATAATAATAATAATAATAATAATTAAATGCATAAATTGAAAATGCTAAATCATCTGGATACTGATTGCAGATGCTTGTTTTGACAATATCTCTGGATACATACACGTAAATAGGCGCAATCCAGGGGGTTATCGCAGATATTACACGTATAGTGTGAGCAGTGAAGTCGCAGCTCGACGATCGGACCGTACAGTGTGAGCACATAAATCCTGAACTTTGGCTTTGCATCGCATGCGATTTACTCGTTCAGTGTGAGTAGGTACCTTGCTGAAATCGCACAGACATCGCACAGTGTATGCCCGCCTTAAGTCACCAAAAACCCTTTATAAAAATATTAAAATAATCGTGTACTATAAATACATGAGGGGAGGTATTGGCACAATTTCACCTAGTAAGTCAGTCTTACTAATAGTAACCTTCTACAAGCTTTGGAATTTGAAAATATCTGTTTTAAAATGTTAAAAGTACTTTTAAATAATAAATTATAGGCTACGTTTACCACAGTTGGTGGAATTGCCAGACGTTCTCATACACTGTGGACGCGTGCCAAAGTATTCTCAGGTATAAATAACACATTAACGATTTTGAAATAATAATCATGTCGATATACAATGGTTGAAAACTAATCCTGCTATTGATATCTTTGTAAGACCGATCACAGAACAGTGTAAAGGGAAAACAAAGGTCCGGTGATAGTGAAAAACGAGCCTAACTTTTACCCCGCTCAACCACCATATGTGCATTTCACGCATTTGGGAAGGAAGGGAGGTTTGGATGGGGAGGGCACAGTCACTCATTAATTCCCTTGGTGCCTGCCCTGTACAGAAGTGTTACTAAGGGCTAATGTGGATTTCTGTTTAGCAATCAGACCAATCAGAATCAAGGATTGGAACTAACCGTTTTATAATTACATTTCTATACAATTCTATTATTTTTTAAATGTATAATTTTTATATTAATCAAATAATAAAGTATCACATTTATTGTTACTAGTCTAAAGCCATTTAAAATTATTATGGGATCTTCCTCAAGCAGTCTAAACAGATATTTTTCCTGTATTTTTAAAATGATCAGATTTTAATGTATTTATTGAATAAAAACAAAATGATTTTATCCAAATAAATTAAAAAATACATTTTTTTTTTTTTTAAGTATTATCTTTTCCCCTTAAATGCATGAATGTGTCGCCAATCATTATTACATATCCGGGTCTTTAGCGACCCAAATCTCTATCCAGCGCGGATGGATCTCTACTTGTCGTGATACTACGATATAAAACTCTCCTGATATTAGAGTAACAATTACAGAAGAATAAAATCAAGACTTAGGTTGAGAACTTCTGGTGCGAAAGCACAGGGGTGAGGAACATGTACACGGAGCGAACAGCTCCTGAGAAAGAGCACATGTGGTTGGTGGATTACGGGGTGGTATGTGTGTGTTAATGTAGCTTTATGTGTGGCTCTGTCACTGGGAATGAGGTCACTGGGTCTCGGCCCTATTTAATTAATTAGGGAACAGCGGAATGGAAAATGAATAGCAATCAGAGGCTCACTAATTTCAGACCTGCCAATCAATAAGCCTTAGACCTGAATTTTCCTTCAGGGGCCTTGATGGGTCTCATTTAGCGTTGAAATAGGATACCAAATGCAGGCGTGGCTGGATGTGTATAAGTACATAAATATTCAAGACATGTATGTCAGGGGTTTGCAGTCCAAGGGTCGTGAATGCAGTGAAAAGTTAATTGCACTTTCACCCTTCCATTTATGTATGGACATAAACTGATGAGTTAATACTAAGAAGGAGATTGGTTTAACAAAAACTCAAAATATTATTTCATCCAAACCAAGTTGATTTGACAAAAGAAAAAAAGTTCATATTATGATTTTTTTTACAGAGCAGCAACCACCAATCGACATATCAACACTTTGAAGAAACCATTTCCATTCACATCAACCCAGACAAAACTGACCCACAGTAGCCACTGAAGAATCCCCAGTGTGCAGTACATAACAACAGCACTGTGCATAGCAACAACTGTCTCTCACATAGCAACCACACCAGAGTGCATAGCAACTACTGGCAGCTCTTTGTGTATTCCCTGTTAGTTGCTTGCATTTGATGCTAGGTGAACTCCAGTGTCTCACCCAGTAGACATTAACTCAAGCGTATCAAAACAAGCTTTGATTTGTTGTTCTTTAAAATAATTTACTGTGATCATTAAAGACTGCTTTTTTGTGTGTGTGCCTTCCTCTTGCAGATATTCGCTCATTGCCTGACGTTGCCATGACGGGAAACTGCAGCCAGGAGTGCAGCGAGCTCGGTCACTCAGATGCCTGTTGGATGCCCGGTCAGCCTTCGCCCGTCCGCAAGACACGCAACCCCCCTAAACTGTCCACGTTTGTGCCTTATCAGGAGAGGGGGAGCTTGGGACGCCTGGCCAATGGGAGCGTGAGGTTGGGAGGAGAGGAGAACAGGCCACGCCTCCCACCTTCCCGTAGTGCCTACTCCAGTAGTGACCACACCCCCAGTGACCACGCCCCACTAGAGGAGGTGCCTCTGAGGGTGACATCAGAGTTCCCGCCCACCAGCCCCCCCTCCAATCACGCCTCGAAAAGAGAGATATACCTGTGAGATAACCACACCCACCATCTGTGATTGACACACATCAGAAGTTACAGAGACACGGTTGCGAAAAGAGAACATCGGATCTGCGACAGGATATCAATTGAATAGTGGAAAAATACGCTATTGTCATCAGAGTAGATTTATTTATTTTATTTATTTATTCATTCACGCATCTATTTATTATCATTTTTAACACGTTATTTCTTTTGTAACTATTTGTACCGTTTTTTTGTTTTTTTGTTTTTTTGCATACCATTAAAAACAACCGATAAATACTTTTACGTGACTAACCGACGTTTAGCTTCGCTAGCCTACAGAATGTTCATGGGTTCTTTTACTAGATTACCAAGTGCTGTAGTGGGCAGGAGATACTGCTGTAAAAGGATCCTGAGCCACATAGAGTGTCTAACACTCTTTACTTGATCCTGTCCTCAGAGGAGAGCAGTCTTTATACATGTAAAACGCTGTAAATACATTTGTATGGTGTATATATGAATATTACTATCCGGCTTGAGTTGAAAAATAATACAAATAAATAAAATAAAATAAAAAAAAGGTCAAAAGTTACATCTAAATCAGCCTGAACACCTGAAATGTGTGTTATACTGCTGCTTTTGAGGGTCTGAACGTCTGCAATGGCCAGTTGTTGGATCGGAGCGTGCCCCGTCTAGGACCCAGATCCTCACCTGCGGTGCTGTGTGTCCATGTGCACACTGAAACCGGTGTATAGTCTGTGTGCAAGTGTGCGTTTGGCGAGGGAGGGCGGTGGGTTTAACAGCGATTAACTCGCTATGACAGACCTTAGCATATGCCGGTGTGTGCGTTTGTGCGTCAGGGGACCTACTGTCACGAAAAGTAACACATGTGGCTTCTGGCACATTAACACGCTATTCAACAGAAGAGAATCCGCGTGCCGTGCATACTTTTGTGTCATGTGGCAGAACTTGTGTTTTTTTGGCACTGTGAATCTCCCCTGAACTCCCACGGTGTACCGCAAGCGTTGCCTGGCACTCGCGGAGACGCCTACGGCTCACACAGCACAGCCTCAGTGAGGAGGAGACCACCTGCCTCCCCTCAAATTATCAGTATCGTTCCGTTAACTCGATGGTATGTGAAATCCACAGACGCGCCTCATCTCCATCAAATTGCATATTCACAGTCCTTGGTTTACATAGATTTTAAACCTTTTTGTCCTATTTAGACTTTGTTTGATGAACAAATGTAATAATGCCTTAAAACAGTTGTATATAACAATCACAATGGACAAATTAGACTGATAATCCTGTCTTGTCTTTCGCATGTCAATTGTGCATGTTTTTTTTTTTCCACAATCAAAAAAGAAAAGAAAAAAAATATACAAATGTTACAAACGATCATATCACCATATTTTCTGCCACTTTTGTTTTGTTTTGTTTTTTGTCCTCCATCATTAGGGTATTTCTTCGGGTTGGTTTTTCTTTGACACTGTGCTGACTATCTAACCTGCTCTAAAGCTGTGTCTCCCTCCATGTTTGAGAGAATCTCTGGGGGACCATTTTGACAATGACTATCTATTGTGCTCAAGGACCATATATCTGATGGACATTATCATTACTACTGCAGCGCCTCAACTTCACTGCTTTTTCCTCACCTGCTGCCGCACAGTACCCGCCCAGATCCCGGTGCTTGGGCGAGCGTGTGTGTGTCTGCCCGGGAGAGTTGAAGAGGTGTTCTGCAATGGGCATTTCCTTAATTAGGGTGAGTAATGAGTGTAGTGTAGTTGGCATATGCGAATACTCCAGCCCCCCAAAAGGAAGCACAGATCACGGAAAAGATCCCAGTTCAAAAGCTTCAATTGTTTAAGCGAGTCGCATTTTTTCACTGCACTTACCTCATCGCGAATGCCTTCAGCGCCTCTCGACGAATAATTAAGGCTGAAACGTATGGAAATTACTGGACGTAGCCATGATTAAATAAGGGGAATGATTATCCCGCCCTAAGGAAAGAAAGCACATTATGCTGTTTTCGAAGCCATTTAGTGACTCTGATAGGGGTGGGGGGGAAAAAAAAAAATCCAACGAGAGTCATGATCTAGTGTAATTAGCCCAGCTTCGCTTTCCCTCCTCTCCACTGCAAACCACACTCTGCCCAGGCGAACGTGTGAGATCGCTGACCTGGACTTAACACGGCTAAAAGATAGAGATGACCACAAAACTCTGCCACCACTTAAAGGCTTTCATCTATTCAAACTCTGAGTGAAGCAGGCTTTGACCTTCCTCCACTCGGATGCCAGACTGAGTCAGATAGTCTGAATTGCAGGTTTCGACTCTGGCTTTTTTTCTTTATTCCTAGTAATTCTAAGGCTAGTCTCCTAGAATCCTTCCAGGCCAGAATGCCGGAGGACGGACGGAGGAATGTCCACTTCTCGTGGTTGTTTTTTAAACTGGTGTTTAGATTTGTGCTCTTTCGCTGTTAGATGTCTGGATGTGACGAGACGACCGTAACGAACGAGGGAGTCTTTTCTTCATCCTTAGAGCGAGACTTTTCTTCATAGAATAACGAAAACTGGTGTTTGTGGTAAACATCTCGTAGAAAGCGTTCTGTACATAGCTCTCCACATCCTCTCTCCCCCGTGCGTGGTGTCGAGCAGGCGACGAGCTGAGCATGAATTCCAAAGATAATTGGTAGAAACCGTTTACTGTTCTTGCTGAAATGTTAGTGCCGGTTCAAAAGAGAACAAAAGCGACGTTCACTGCACAAAACTCATCTTCACCGTTCACCCCAAACTGAAGACAGCTGCCTTGAAAGTATGTCTTTTGCAGGAGTTCAAAACTTGTTATCCTTAACTGTTGGTTATATTTATATAGGAATACAAATGCTTGTGATGATCTGTTTTTGTACAGTTTTATGTACATGCAAGTGAAGCTTTTTAAATCTTACAACAAAAGCCGATGGCATATAAAAATCGTAAAGTGTTTATTGAGATGTGCACATCTTGCCTTGGATGGATCGATCTTTTTTGCCGAGTCAGTGTGAATGTGGCCCGTCTTATGCCTGCACCGTAGTCATTCACTGGCTCCTGTCACCGAGGGCTTTATCAGATTTTATGTTTATCGTGAACAGTGGATTGTCCGATCCGACTTGTTTGTTTGATTCCCATGTGTTTCGTTTCGTTCCGTTTCCGCATGTTGAAAACAAACCCCTTGTAATAAGTCCTTGCAAAGTTTGTAATAAAATGAGTGAAGAAAAAAAAACAAAGAAATACATTTGCTTGGTGAGTCATTGTTTAAGAATGAATCTAGGGACTGTGATCTCTCCATAAAGCTTTTTCATTAATAAAGCAAATTGATCTGACAAAGAAATAAGACTCATTTTTTTTATTCTCTGGGTCTCTTCGCCTGTGTAAACAGAGAAAGAGGAAAAGGTTACAGTTCGCCAGACTGACAGGAACTTAATAGAACAGAAAAGTGAATGTGAGATCTAGTAATGTGAAGCTCTCACTTCACAAAAAGCTGTCAATCAATATTAATGATAAAAAAAAAAAAGACCCTGAATTTTCTCAGTCTCGGAAACCTAATTCTCTCCTCTACAAGGAGTTAAACCGTTACACCCAAGACCTCCCAGTACTCGACAGCACAATAAAGACGAAGCCATAAAGATGATAACGCTGAGATGAAAGACAATAAATCAATCCGGCTTTCATTTGGTGCACTGTCTTTATAGATATGCCACGACGTAATTCACGCATCTCTGAAATGATAGCTTTCACAGATAAAAATAAATGGATGTGAGCCAGCGAACAAACGCTAGGAAAAAACGAGAGTCATAAACAAGTTAAAAAGAATATCAAGATGGAAAGTGAGGTAAATACTTGAGCAAGTATATGTGAGTAAAGAGACAAATGTGTGAAAACACGTTACACTGTCAAGCAAGCGTAAGTTCAGGATATAGTTTAGAAGGCCAAACTGCCCTCTAATGGTCTTCAAGAGAACTACACCAACGCGAAAGATTAGCGTGTTATACCAGATACTCAACAGTCAGGATTAATGAATCAGATTGCTGGTGTTCTTCAGTTTCTTGTTGACATCACCTACAGCGCACGCGTTCCTGAGGATGGCGGATGAAACGAGCGAAGCTGCATGAATAATAATTGAGATCAGGGATGATAGTGGTTCTGGACCACATAGAAGCACATTTCGCAGACAGGGATCCTCGTAGCGGCTTATTTAACCGAGGCTGCGAAGGGAGGACCCACTGAGTTTTTTTCATTAATCTCCTTCTAATGGATAGGTTTTCGCTTCGCCTCGCTCTCTGCAGGCTGAGTTTTAGAAGGAGCCGTTTCGCTGGTGTTTTGTTTACATGCGGCTGGGGCATTTGTTTCCTGTTGAAGAGCGAGTCTAAGTAGAGAGGGTCTTTCTTCAAGATGAAACTACCCCCTCGGCTACTGCCTACTGTTGATATGCTGTTGCCGTGGAAACCTGGCCCCTCTGTCTTTCTGTTCTTTGCTCTCTCCCTCACCCACGCTCGTTCTCGCTCGCTTCGTTAAGCGCGGTGCTGCTGGCAATTAGAAGCAAAGCCAGCGGCGGGGACGGCTGCCTCTCAAATGTACTCTCCAATTAAACACTGTCAAATAATGCCGTATCTCAACCCGCCGCCTCCCGCCGTCCCCTCCTATCACACGACACATCCGCGCCTTTAAAAGAAAGATACTTACAATGGTGCCAAAATAAGCAGGCGCACAGATCGATTCACGGCCTTTTCCGTAATGATGCTAAAGGCGTCGTGTTTTTCCTGCAGGCGCTTAAAAAACTTGATTATTTTTTTCATTCAGCAGAAAGCGCATGTAGCTGCGAGCCTTAAAAAAGGTTTTCTCCATGGTATTGATTGTGGATTTTTTTTTCAGGAAAGTGAGGTGTTTTACAGATCGCAGGCACTTAAGACTCATAGAAAATTGCTGGACTAAAGCCCTCTCATATTCAGCTATTTGTACTGCTGTCCCTACATATCGACTCTCATACACTATAGACGTAATTGGCGCATTAAAATCAATGGCGCAATTTAAACAGCATCATCATTAAAAAGGTTTATGTGCAAAGTCAATAAGCGCAGTGGAGATGTTTGGGAACCGTGGGCACATGCAACGTCGCACATCAAAACAGCATTATCTCACATGCACGACCATTTTTGTTTGCACAAAGTGGGCTACTATACTCCTTTGTTGCCCAATTGTGTCAATAAAACGTCTCTTTGTCTCATTTAACACCCGATTACGTCCCACCTGGATTCAATCTTCCAATCATTTATGATCCCGAAACAGCCTAGGCTAAACCCATCCATCAGCCCTGACAAACACAGCGACCATACGCCACACCTCATAGTAGTGCCGCCTCACCCGTTCATTGGGCCTAAACGCCCCCTTTCCACAGTTGCTTAGGCCTCAGGAGGCTTCTCCTGTATGTTCAAGTGGAAAATCACTTTCTGAATAACTACTTGTCCTTCTTGCACTCGTTCACAGCCTCGTCTGTGGTTTTCTGCTTGATAAAAACGGCCAATAGCTCATGCCTGGCAGCGAGAGAGAGCTATAGTGTACTATAAGAGTCACATTTGTGGAGTGGTCCAACAGGAGCTACTATTAAAAGTCATATTTTATTGACGCGTGTTTGTCGGGTTGTTAAAACAGGATTTTTGAAATCGCAAAGACACGGCGGAGAGCGGCGAATCAACGGTGGCGTCAAGAGAGGTAGCTCAACACTTTCCCAGCCCACCTGCTGAGCATCACACACCTAGAGACTCGTTTGAATTCATTTTCTAATCCTGGAAACATGACACTTTAACATTAATCTAATTTACTGCAAGTCTCTGGCAAGTCTCTGGCCAAATGGAATTAAAACAGCTTTTCAATCCACTGGCATACACACATTCAACAATGTCTGAGTCACCTGCTGCATGTATTTATATGCATGAGTGAATATTTATGTTCTTTACCTCAAGTGAACGTTGACAGTCACAGATTTCTAATATTTTGCACCTTGCAAACACGTTTGTCTAGGATCTATGAAACCGTGACATCAAACAAAAGCTGCCTTTTATATTGCACTATATAATGTGTGTAATTGTTACGGTTATTGTTAAGTGACGCTGATTGATTATAATGAAGAAATCTAGATTTTTGTCAGATGAAAAAAAATTTATTCAGTATCTAAATGTCAAGTGTGCATAAGGTTTTTAAAATTATGTTAACATCCTAAATACATCCTAAAAACAGTTTTTAAAAATCTGTCATTTAAACCAGTATGACTTTCTTTGTTCGGTTGAACATATAAGATATTTTAAAAATAAAATAAAATACATACAGTACACATGGGGGTCTAATGCTGCTTTGGACAGGTTTGGAAATGACATGAGGGTGTGTGAATTATGACTAAATTTAAATTTGTGGGTGAAATATCCATTTAAAGACACATCACCACAAAGTCTAAACGGCTTTGATTGTAACATTTACTACATTCAAAATAAACAAATTAGTACTGCTTGAATTTTACTTCAAACTTACATATAAGCAGATATAGTGTAAAATATGTGTATTCGGAGCGATCCCAGAACACTCCCAGAGCTGCATGGGATTGGAATAATTGACTATGTGCACGAGAAAAATGCTAACTTCCGCCTTGAGGGCGGATGTTGGGTACTTCGGTTCCGGTTGCCGTTGTTTACATCCTACATCAGTGGACCGGCTATCTAAAGCTTAGCTATCTAAATATATTTGTCTAAAACTATGTTCGTTTGTTCATTGTCAAGTCAACCAACACAGTTTTCACTCATATTTGGGTGGAGCCAGGCGCTGCTGCATTGTGAAAAGTAAACGATATTTCACATTTTGTCACCGCACCCAAGCAGTCGCTCCACTTGCGTATCCATGACAACTAGAAGGAAGTTTTTAGGCTACTAATTATTTATTATATTATACCCTTTAACCAGGAGAAGCCCCTGGGTTTAGAACCTATTTTGAAAGGGAGACCTGTTTAGAAATATGTGTGAACAGCCTAATATGTGTTAAACAGCCTAACTTGATAACGAACGAACCAACGTCGGATACCTTTACTCCCTGTATGACATGTATAACGTTAGTGGTTGTCAACACTGATCTATATGACGATAGTGGTTGTCAACAACATAGCCTCTGAACATCATAAACAAAACAATGGCCAACACAAACTGTTCTGGAAAATGCACTTTCTAACGCATGATTTCGCATTTTATAATGTATAGAGAGAACAGTTACCAAATCGCATAGCTTGAGCACGTAGCATGGCAACATTAATGTCCGAGTGATTCCACGTGTACCGCGTATGTACACGCCGTCAAATGTCCGAGCGAAACAAAACAAAATGTAGATCTACATCTGGGGAGCGATATTTATTTTTTCCTAGGATGGTAGGAGTGACGGGTAGGTTGGGGTTGAGGTAGGTCATATGCTATATATATATACACTGTGTGTATATATATATATATATATATATATATACAATAATAACGTTAAGTCAACGGTATTCATAAACACGCTGAAAAGAGATTATGCGTATTGATAGCATGCCAAAAATACGTGATACGTGTCATACATACGCAATTTCATGAGATCAGTCTGAGCATGGATGTTGTTGTGACTTAACGATCCCTTCAAAATGATGCAAATACTGAGAAATGTAATATTTAAACCCCTTCTCTCTTGCTCTGGGGAGCTGGAGGAAAATCATTAGCCAGTCGATGAACATAATCGACTGTAATATTCGGCAAATGTTCAAGACATCTGGAGAAACATACATCCTCTACGTTGTCCATCAGGCTACCGGAAACTAGACACCCCATATCGGTTTCGCAGCCGGAACTAGCATATGCTAACGTGCACAATGTCCATTGAGAGTGAGGATGCAGGAAAAACTGTAACTAAATCAGCTCTCTCTTTCTTTCTCTCTATATATAAGCCTCCTCTCGCACTGATTGGGTAGATTATCAGAACATGATTTTCAATAAAACAACATTTGCATATCCTTTCACAAGGAGGTAGTTTGTGCTGTAGTATATGTATTTGTTCAGCCTTTGTGATGCCTGAAAGTGATGCAAATCTACTGTACTGACACCAGCTGGGGGCAATGCGGTCAATTATGGAAGTGATGCTTTCTGTGTCCGTGAACAACCATAATTTGTGTCAATTTCTGTGCTTGTATTAATCCACTGATTATGATGGAAATCCGCAGGAGCCTAAATCTCAGACAATCTTG